CACCTGGGGACACCTGGGGGGGGTAAAACACACCTGGGGACACACCTGGACACACCTGGGTGAGCTCGGTGCCACCTGCGCTTCCCAAAAATTATTAAAAAGCTCCCCCCAAAATCCAAAAAATCCCCAAAAAACCTAAAAAAATCCCCCAAAAAATCCCCCAAAATTCCCCGAAAATTCCAAAAAATTCTCCCAAAAATCCCTTATAATTCCCCAAAAAATTAAAAATAATCTTGTAAAATTCAAAAAAAATCTCCAAAAATCCCCCAAAAAATTCCCCCAAAAAATCCCAAACCCCCCCCAAAAATTCCCAAAACATCCCCAAAAAAATCCCCAAAAATTCCCAAAAAATCCCCTTAAAAACCACAAAAAAATCATTTAAAATTCAAAAAAAATCCCCGAAAAATTCCAAAAAAAATTCCAAAAATCCCCAAAAATCCCCAAAAAATTCCCCCAAATTCTCCAAAAATCCTCCCAAAAACCACAAAAAAATCATTTAAAATTCAAAAAAAAATCCCCCAAAAATTCCAAAAAAATCCCAAAAAAATTCCAAAAAAATCCCAAAAAATCCCCAAAATTCCCAAAAAATCCCCAAAAATTCCCCAAATTCCCCCAAACTTCCCTGCCCCCTCTGGTGTCCCGGCAGTGGAGCGGCGGCGCCGGGACAAGATCAACAACTGGATCGTGCAGCTCTCCAAAATCATCCCCGACTGCGGCGCCGACAGCGGCAAATCCGGCGCGGTGAGAGCGGCCCCGGGACGCCGGGAGTGCGGGGGGGAAAGGGGGAATTTGGGGGAATTTTGGGGAATTTGGGGGAATTTTTTGGGGGATTTTTTGGGGATTTTTTGGGGATTCTTTTTGGATTTTTTAGGATTTTTTGGGGATTTTTTGGGGAATTTTTGGGATATTTTGGGGATTTTTTGAGGGTTTTTTGGGGATTTTTTTGGGATATTTTTGGGATTTTTTTGGAGTTTTTTGGGGGATTTTTTGGGGATTTTTTGAGGATTTTTGGGGTTTTGGGGGGATTTTTAGGGATTTTTTGGGGGATTTTTTGGGGATTTTTTGAGGATTTTTTTGGGATTTTTTTGGAGTTTTTCGGGGTTTTCTGGGATTTTTTGGGGATTTTTTTGGATTTTCTTGGGATTTTTTGTTGTGATTTTGTTTGGATTTTTTGGGGATTTTTTTGGGGATTTTTTTGGGATTTTTTTTTTGTTTTTGGGGGTTTTTTTTGGAATTTTTTGGGGACCTTTTTGGGGTTTTTTGGGGATTTTGGGGTCTCCCGGGTGGATTTTTGGGGGGTCCCGGGTTAATTTTGGGGAGGGGTCGCGCAGAGCAAAGGCGGGATCCTGTCCAAGGCCTGCGATTACGTGCGGGAGCTGCGCCAGAGCAACCAGCGCCTGCAGGAGACCTTCAAAGAGGCCGAGCGGCTGCAGATGGACAACGACCTGTTGCGACAGCA